ACTGATTCAACACAAGATGAAATACTTTAAAGAACAGGTCGGCTTCTCCAGTCACACCTCGCTGCTGAGATATATACTGATGTTTATAAAGGGACGAGAGAGCCATCAGAAGAAATGTCAAATTTAACATCCCAATTCAAATCTGGCTCAAAATGTTCCAATTTGAGTTAGAACCAATTATTCTGTATGGCAGCAAAATCTGGGGACCAAAATTCAATCAGGACTTTGACAAATGGGACAAAATAATAATGGAAACATTTCATACCGAGTTCTGTAAGAACCTCTTACCTGTTCAAAGACCCCAAACAACGCATGAAGAGCAGAACTCAATAGCCCCTCTCCTCAAAATAAGATTAAGATTTACTTTATTGATCCCCGCAAGGGGAAATTTCTGTTTTTACTGGTTCTGTGTCTCAGTTTATTGGAGGGGATTTGGTGCCTTGCTCAGGGGCACCTCAGCAGTGCTCAGAAGCTACCAGACAAACTTTCATATTTGGTCCGCACCAGGACTTGAACCGGCGACCCACTGGTTCCCAACCCAAGTCCCTACAGACTGAGCTACTGCCTGAGATGGTGAGTATTAGTTGTGTAGTAGTTGTGTGTGTTTGTTGTGTATTAGTTGTGTGTATTAGTTGTGTGTGTTTGTTGTGTGTTTGTTGTGTATTAGTTGTGTGTGTTTGGTGTGTGTTTGTTGTGTATTAGTTGTGTGAGTTTGATGTGTGTTTGTTGTGTATTAGTTGTGTATTAGTTGAGTGTGTTTGATGTGTGTTTGTTGTGTATTAGTTGTGTGTGTTTGTTGTGTATTAGTTGTGAGTGTTTGTTGTGTATTAGTTGTGTGTGTTTGTTGTGTATTAGTTGTGTGTGTTTGTTGTGTATTAGTATGGACTTTGTTTACCTGTAGATGGGAGTCGTCCGTCAGCGTCGGCTGTCGAACAGAAACACTCACTGAAGACCGAGTTAGACGAGTTGGAGAGCGAGCCAGACGCCGCATCACTGAGCTCATAGAAACCTGGGGTGGGGGCAGAGATGAAATGGTTAAAAAAAACAGCTGAGTCATGTTTAGCTTGTGTTCATGGATGGTTCCTCAGAAATATTCGTCAACGATTCAGTTTTTTCCCGACACATTTTCATATAACAGACATACTAGCTCAGTTAGAGCCGCACATGGTCAAGTAAGCCTCCCTCCTCTTAAGCTCCTCCCTCTTCTACACATTTTGCCAATGTTTTAGTGCAGTTAAGACAATGCTCTGAGTCTGTTTGGTTCACCAGTAAACCCAGTGTGTTTCCTCCTCATACCTGAACTGGGTCTGCTGTCGGTCTCCGGCGGGTCATGTGGCGGCTCGGTGTCTAGGCGCAGGTCACTGATCTGTCGGTCGAGCTCCTGAAGCTGACTGATGAGTCCGGTGTCTCTCCTCCGCAGGCAGTTCTAAACACACACACACACACACATTAGTCCATTGTAGTTTTCTATTGTCATGTCTCAGTATGCGCGCTCTGAGGGAGGATCCAGAAGCGTATGATCATACTCCTCAACAGTAGGTGGCTAGGTGGCCTATCTAATAGTTACTATTCAGTGTTTCCCTACCTAAAAACACTGAATAGTACCTACCTACTACCTACCTCTAAACCTAGGGGAAACACTGCTATTGGACCTTCTTCCTGTCGACCTGTCAATGACAAACGAGTCAGCACGCAGAAAAGCGTGTTCAATGATGAAAACATGGACGACTATCATGCTCTGAACATTTCAGCTGACTCAGCATGCCCTGAGTCAGAACTGTAGAGCATGCTCAGTCCTAGTCCAGTCTGGGTTCCATTAAGGTGTAAACATGTGAAAGCACATCAACCCCTGATGACATTATCTACGACAAGTGAGCTGGTCAGACTCTGAGAAACTCAGGTCTATGTGATCCAGGTCTATGTGATTCGGGTCTATGTGATTCGGGTCTATATGATCCAGGTCTATGTGATTCAGGTCTATGTGATCCATGTTTATGTGATTCAGGTCTATGTGATTCGGGTCTATGTGATTCAGGTCTATATGATCCAGGTCTATGTGATTCAGGTCTATGTGATCCATGTTTATGTGATTCAGGTCTATGTGATTCAGGTCTATATGATTCAGGTCTATGTGATCCATGTTTATGTGATCCATGTTTATGTGATTCAGGTCTATGTGATTCAGGTCTATGTGATTCAGGTCTAAGTGATCCAGGTCTATGTGATTCGGGTCTATGTGATCCAGGTCTATGTGATTCAGGTCTATGTGATCCATGTTTATGTGATTCAGGTCTATGTGATCCAGGTCTATGTGATCCATGTTTATGTGATTCAGGTCTATGTGATTCAGGTCTATATGATTCAGGTCTATGTGATCCATGTTTATGTGATCCATGTTTATGTGATTCAGGTCTATGTGATCCAGTGCTGGTCAGGTCATGTGACCTGTCAGAGTCTGATAGGGATCTGCAGCTTCAGGCTCACAGACAGATAAGATCAGCTGTTTACATACCTGCTGATTATCACCTGGTTCTACACACACACACACACACACACACACACACACACACACACACACACACACACACACACACACACACACACACACACACACACACACACACACACACACACACACACACACACACACACACACACACACACACACACACACACACACACACACACACACACACACACACACACACACACACACACACACAGAGCAGAGATAGAAACATGCGGGTTATGCAGCTCTCAGGTCATGTGCTGCATTCCTCTGACTGAGCTGCAGAAACAAGCTTCTGATACTGAACCAGACCATAGCTCCCACTGCACACCAGTCATACAAACCAGTTATATGAACCAGTTGTGTGTGTTTGTGCACGTGTGTGTGTGTGTGTATGTGTGTGTGTGTGTGTGTGTGTGTGTGTGTGTGTGTGTGTGTACGTGCATGTGTGTATGTGTGTTTGTGCGTGTGTGTGTGTGTGTGTATGTGTGTGTGTGCGCGCGTGCGTACAGCTGCTCTCTGGTATGAGCGGCGTGTTCAAACACAACTGACGCTCCTCCAGCTGTTCGTCCTGTCAATCAACCTGCTGACAGCTGAGACTCAACCGGAAGTGATGTCACTCTCACACTTCCTTCATTACTTTATCCCAAACCATGAACGAGGTCTGGAGTCAGTGGTCATCAGAACTACGAGCGTGACACTTCCTGTCATGCAGCGTGGCCCACGCCATCATCAGAAGAGATCTTTTGTGATTGGTTAAACAGAATTCTGGTCATGGTGAGAAAGTAACCGTAACGCTCAGATTCAACATCAACATGTTAGAGACCCTGACCCTGGTCCTGGTCCTGGTAAAACTCTAAACTCCAGATTTATCATCATCATGTATGAGATCCTGGAAATGGTCTAAGTAAAGCTCTTGACTCCAGATTCTTAATTATCATTAAGATGATTTTGTCCTGGTCTAAGTAAAGGTCCAGACTGGGACTGATTCTAGTCTAATCTAAAGGAGATGTCTGGACATGAAGGAGGAGCACACAGCTCTCTGTTTGTCTCTCAGCTGCTCGTCTCAGAGCTGAAAGTCGATCTGCAGAGTTTCAGCAGCTCAAAGGAATCTCCATTTGTTCCTCCTCACAGGGGGGAGGAAGAGCAGGAGGGAGGGGGGCTAATCTGCTCCAGATTCAAGTTTAGAGCTGCAGCTGCACCAACACAGAAACAACCAGGAAAGATAGCTGACCTGAAAAACATATCCTGAACCACAGGAGGAGGAACAGGAGCAGAGAGGAGGAGAGGAGGAGAAGGAGAAGGAGGAGAGGAAGACAAGGAGGAGGAAGAGGAAGAGGAGGAGTAAGAGTAAGAGGAAGAGGAGGAGCAGGAGGAGGAGGAGGTGAAGTCTGTATGGAGTCAGACAGATCTGAGATCAGATTTCTGTCAAATATGAAGCAGCTGCTGAAACATAAAGAAACATGGCCGACGCCTTCTCACACTGACTTTAAATAATGTTTTATACAAATTTTAAAAATAATGAGGATCAGCTGACTCATCTGACTCTGAACATTTCAAGGCATTGAAAAGTGAATGTGAAAAGTTTCCAGGACCTCCAGACTTCACACTAACTTGTCTTCAAAGCTTCTCACCGCCACGCTGCATGACCCGTTAAAAGTTACACCTGAACGCAGCACAGAGACGACAGCTGAAAGTTAGTGTTTGTGTCCCACACAGAAATACACACCATCACACACACACACACACATGCTGCAGACGTTACAGTCTGTTTACCTGCTGCAGACGTTACAGTCTGTTTACCTGCTGCGGACGTTACAGTCTGTTTACCTGCTGCGGACGTTACAGTCTGTTTACCTGCTGCAGACGTTACAGTCTGTTTACCTGCTGCAGACGCTACAGTCTGTTTACCTGCTGCAGACGTTACAGTCTGTTTACCTGCTGCAGACGTTACAGTCTGTTTACCTGCTGCAGACGTTACAGTCTGTTTACCTGCTGCGGACGTTATAGCTTGATATATTTTTAATGAATAAACTCTGTACACAGACAAAAATAAGCCAACAGCAAACCTCCTGTCTGTCTGTCTGTCTGCCTATCTGTCTGTCTGCCTGTCTGTCTGCGTGTCTGTCTGTCCTCCTGTCTGTCTGTCTGCGTATCTGTCTGTCTGTCCTCCTGTCTGTCCTCCTGCCTGCCTGTCTGCCTACTGTCTGTCTGTCTCTGTCTGCCTGCCTGTCTGTCCTCCTGTCTGTCTGCCTGCCTGCCTGCCTGCCTGCCTGTCTGTCCTCCTGTCTGTCTGCCTGCCTGCCTGTCCTCCTGTCTGTCTCTGCCTGTCTGCCTGCCTGTCTGCCTGCGTCTCTCTCTCTCTGATTGCCTGCTGACTCTCTGAACAAACCGACCGGAGAGAGTTCATTAACTGAGAGCTGCTTCAGGCCACAACACGCCTCTTTAATTAGACACACACACACTCAGACGCACACACAGGCACACACACACCTGGTATCATTGAATCTCCCAGCATCCTCTCTGAGCCGCGGGGGGCTAGGGATAAGACTCGAAGAGTCAATTCTGGTCAAACATAAAACCTCCCCCACACACACACACACACACACACACACACACACACACGACATCATTGCTTTATGACATCAGGATGTTTATTCTCTCACCTTAAAGAGACAAATAAACTGTAATTGGTTTAAATTCCGCTTAAGAGACGAGCAAATGGTGAACTCACGAGTTTAGAAATAACATATAGAAAGAACATAGAAACACAGTCAGCTGACCTGCTCTGCGGAGCCAGGCTTCTGCCTGTTCATCATGAGCCTGGTTCTGTTCCGGGTTTCTGCCTGTTCAACATGAGTCTGGTTCTGTTCCGGGTTTCTGCCTGTTCAACATGAGTCTGGTTCTGTTCCGGGTTTCTGCCTGTTCAACATGAGTCTGGTTCTGATCTAGGTTTCTGTCTGTTCATCATGAGTCTGGTTCTGTTCCAGGTTTCTGCCTGTTCAACATGAGTCTGGTTCTGTTCCAGGTTTCTGTCTCTTAAAAAAAGTTTCTCTCCACTGTGACTTTGCTAAATGCTGTGCTCACGGTGGATTAATGTTGGGTCTTTGTAAAGAGTCGCTTTAGACTTGCTCCGTTTGTAAAGTGTATGCAGATCCATTGATTTCAGACTACACACACACACACACACACACACACACACACACACACACACACACACACACACACACACACACACACACACTCTCTCTCTCTGTCTCCCTCTCTCTGTATCATGTTTCTATTAACACAGGCTGACCCCGCCTTCAACCCCGACCTCTGACCTCACCTGAGTCTTTCAGGCCCAGACTGAGGTTGGAGGTCACAGGTCATGAGGCAGACAGATCATGACGTACCAGCTGTTTCCGGAGCAGAAGGATGTTCTCCTCCAGGAGCTTCTCCTCAGAGCTCAGCTGAGCCTCCCTCCGCCGCTCCTCCTCCTCCTCCTCCTCCTCCTCCTGCTCCAGTTCCTCCCGGAGCTCCAGCGCCGCTCGGACCAGCTCCTCCTGCCGTTGCCTCAGCAGCTCCAGCTCCCCCAGCCCGGACACGGTGGCCTCCAGCCGCTCCCGCACCGCGCGCAGCCGCTCTGACGCGTCGGCGTCCCGCCGCGCGGTTCCAGACTGTAGCATCTCGGGGTCTGACAGAATCAGGGTCCGGGTCTGCGGGGTCCAGACAGCATGGTGCGGGGCCGGATCAGCTGCCACGGTGAACTTAACCCGGGACAAACTCACCGGGTTAAACAAAGCGGGTTAAAGGTCCTCAGTCCGCTCCCTGCAGCTCCGAGCAGCAACCGGTGGTCCCACGGTCCTCCTTTACACAGGACAATCCGGTAAACAATCCGTTAAACGGTTCCTGGGTCCGCTCAGGCACGTCTCCAGGTGACTCCCAGCATGCCCCGGGGCCGCGGCAATGAGCGGGGCCGTCAGAGAGACACGCAGACTCGGCCTGAGCTCCGTCCTGCTGCCGCTGCTCCCCAAGCTCTGCAGGGACTGACCATCAGCATAAGCACATGCCCCGCCCCCTCCACGCTGCAAGAACAACGAGCTGAGTTACGTCACCAACAATGATCATATGCCTTTCCTGTAAGCACCTTCGAAATAAAATAGACACATTTAAAAATCAAAGCATTCATTTTTTAAGAGACAAAAATAAAAAATAAAAACTTCACTGGTTCATATTTTTGATTTGTTTGTTTTTACAGGTACATTGAACAGCCAATCAGCAGGTAATATTGCATAACACACCTGTTACCTGCTGACAACGTCTCTGTTAAGTACTGTTAAATACTTCTACTACAAAAGAGATCTGCTCAGAGATCCGCTCAGTGATCCTCTCAGTGATCCTCTCAGTGATCCTCTCAGAGGTCCTCTCAGTGATCCTCTCAGAGGTCCTCTCAGTGATCCGCTCAGTGATCCTCTCAGTGATCCTCTCAGAGGTCCTCTCAGTGATCCGCTCAGTGATCCTCTCAGTGATCCTCTCAGAGGTCCTCTCAGTGATCCTCTCAGTGATCCTCTCAGAGGTCCTCTCAGAGGTCCTCTCAGTGATCCTCTCAGAGGTCCTCTCAGTGATTTGCTCAGAGATCCTCTCCTCTTATATCCTGATGTATCATTCACGTCATTATCATCATCATCATTATCATCATCGTCGATTGATTCTACAGATAAGTCAATTCATGTTTCCTATGAATTAGAAACTCTATGACGTCATTAAGTGTGATTTAATGTTAGCGACAACATCAAAGAACAAAAGGTTATAAACAGGTAACAGGTGTTATACAGTGTTACCTACAGCAGATAACAGGTCTGTTATACAGTGTTACCTACAGCAGGTAACAAGTCTGTTATACAGTGTTACCTACAGCAGGTAACAAGTCTGTTATACAGTGTTACCTACAGCAGGTAACAAGTCTGTTATACAGTGTTACCTACAGCAGGTAACAAGTCTGTTATACAGTGTTACCTACAGCAGGTAACAGGTGTTATACAGTGTTACCTACAGCAGGTAACAGGTGTTATACAGTGTTACCTACAGCAGGTAACAGGTGTTACACAGTGTTACCTACAGCAGGTATCAGACATCCTGATTTCTTCTTCTGTACTTTGTTCTAGACCTTTGTTGTTTTAGGTTTCTTTCACATTCATCTGTACTTTTGTTGTCTTTATTTTGAAGGGCAGATTCAAAGTGTTTCCTGTGTGGCGGTGTTTAATGATGTGATATTGACCCCCCCCCGCCCCTCCGTCGCTCAGCCCCGCCCTCTCCTCCGGTCAGGCTGCCCTCAGGTCCTAAAGTCCTAAACGATCTGATGTAATGAGACAAATAGCTGAGATTATTAAAAAAAACACGTTAGAGTTTATATGAAAATATTTATAAGAATCTTTATGTTCTATTATTAATCTTTATATTCTGATACTTATGATTATATTAATCATGATATTCGGATGTAAAGTGATGAGTGGTCTGTAGCAGCATCTCTCTTGTTTTTAATCACATGACTGAGATCTGACTCTGTTAAGGAACTCCTTAAAGGAAGAATGACCGACATGTTCCACATAAATATATCATGAATAAAGTCTATTCTGTGTAAAAGTGTCTCTGAGTCATGACTGTCTACAATGAGTCAGAACCTCGAGTCCTGCTGGCTGTGTTGTTGTCAGAGACGTGTTTACATGGACGGGACGGCCGGCTCCTCCCCTTGTGTATAAAAGCTGTTTTAGTGAAGGACTAGAGAAAAGAAGAACATACACACTGATTATTTTGATGCTAGTAAGTGTCTTTAGATCACGCTCATTCTGTGTCAGTTTACATGCAATGTGAAGCTACGAGCTAACTAAAGAGCGCTAACATTAGCATGCTAACACAACAATGCAGGACATTGCATTGTATCTGGAGGAGGGTGGAGGCTTCAGTATGGAAGAGGTGTGGCCAAACAGCAGTTTGTTTTGGTTTCATGCTGGAGCTTAAGGGCGCCATCTACTGGATCAAAAAGTTGCACTTCCTGAAAACTTCATGTTTGATTGTTTTTCTCTTTTTTATAAGTGAATGTTGAAACTGTCCTTCAGGATGAATCAATAAAGTTTGATGTAAAAACACTCTTTGTGGGGCGCTGGTGGCGCAGTGGTTAGTGTGCACGCCCCATGTATGGAGACTGTGGTCTTCCAGGCAGGCGGCCCAAGTTCGAAACCGGCCTGTGGCTCCTTTCCCGCGTGTCATTCCCCTCTCTCTCTGTCCCTGGTTTCCAACTCTGTCCACTGTCCTATCTCTCAATTAACGACACAAAAAGCCCAAAAATAAATCTTTAAAAAAAACACTCTTTGTTCATGAAGTGATTTTAAAGAAATCAAAAAAGTTCCCTTTTGACAACATTAGAATAAACAATGTATTTCATAAATAAAGTTTGATCAACATGTCTTCATTAACGATTCAAAGTATGAATGAATGTCTGAGCGTTTGTTTACAATAGAAATAAAAACATGTGAGTGTTTTTTTAATCCCTCTAATCTTTATTGTTCTGAGCTCATTAACATCGTGTTCAGTTTGAGGGTCACAAACTGTCAGAGTCATGACTCTGTTAGCGAGGTCATGCTGAGGCCCAGGAGTATGTTAATGAGGGGGAGGGGCTTAACATGACATCAATTGATATGTTAATGAAGGCGCTGAGCGTGGGGGGCAGGGCCTAACCCAAGACTCATTATTAGGTTAATGGATGGCGGGGTTTAGGGTTAGGCTCATCCTCTATCTCAGTCTCTTTTCATTCACAGCCTTTATTTCAGTCAACAGTTTACTATCAAGTTTAATAAGAAGACATTTAGAGGGTTTTATAAAGCGCTTTATAGACACTCAAAGACGCTTATATATAATATCATATATATGATGATATATCAGTGAGGTATAGATGATATAGTGTGTGTGTGTTAGTGTAGATGTGTGTGTGTGTGTGTGTTAGTGTAGATGTGTGTGTGTGTTAGTGTAGATGTGTGTGTGTGTGTGTTAGTGTAGATGTGTGTGTGTGTGTGTTAGTGTGGATGTGTGTGTGTGTTAGTGTAGATGTGTGTGTGTGTTAGTGTAGATGTGTGTGTGTGTGTGTAGATGTGTGTGTGTGTGTTAGTGTGGATGTGTGTGTAGATGTGTGTGTGTGTTAGTGTGGATGTGTTAGTGTAGATGTGTGTGTTAGTGTAGATGTGTGTGTGTTAGTGTAGATGTGTGTGTGTGTTAGTGTAGATGTGTGTGTGTGTGTTAGTGTAGATGTGTGTGTGTGTTAGTGTAGATGTGTGTGTGTGTGTTAGTGTAGATGTGTGTGTGTTAGTGTAGATGTGTGTGTGTTAGTGTAGATGTCTGTGTGTTAGTGTAGATGTGTGTGTGTTAGTGTAGATGTGTGTGTGTTAGTGTAGATGTGTTAGTGTAGATGTGTGTGTGTTAGTGTAGATGTGTGTGTGTTAGTGTAGATGTGTGTTTGTTAGTGTGGATGTGTTTGTTAGTGTGGATGTGTGTGTGTTAGTGTAGATGTGTGTGTGTTAGTGTAGATGTGTGTGTTAGTGTAGATGTGTGTGTTTGCTGACAGACTCTCTCTAATCCCACTTCCTGCTTATCTAAACAGTGTGTTTTTCTGCTTCACAGACTTCAGTGTGCACTAATATCAGCTGTCTGCTCTAATCTCCCTGTGTGTGTGTGTTAGTGTGGCTGTGTGTTTGTTAGTGTAAATGTGTGTGTTAGTGTGGCTGTGTGTGTTAGTGTAGATGTGTGTGTGTAACTTTGTTGTTCCCAAAGTAGAGTCTTGCAGGCTCTGACTTCCTGACTTTGTTTTGTGTTAAAGAGTCGATGAATGAAGTGATGAAGAAACAGCTTCTCTCTGAACACGTTGGAGCTTTAATCCTCCTCTCTCTCTCAGACTATCACTTCACAAACCTCCTTTCTATTTAACACTCAATAATACCATCTGTTTCATTTCATAACAATCTCAGTTTATTAAGAACAGGTCAATAACCCACATGCACGCAGTCATGGAAAAATAGATGTGAATTTGATATCCAAACAAAAGATAAATGTCCTTGTGATTATCAGACCCCGTGTGACATCATCAGACAACTGTGACATCATAAGACTCCATGTGACATCATCAGCCACCGTGTGACATCATCAATCAGCTGAAAACAAAGATGGTGGTCGATGTTTTGTGTCTTTTTTCTTTCTAGAAAATGTCGCTGACAGAGGAGTCCGTGTCTCCGGCTGCACTCAGAGACTCCTTCTCCACCACCGTCTCCTCCTCCTGATGCTCCTCCTGCACTGCGATGGAGGGCAGGTGAACATCCCTCTTCCTGGCTCCTCCTACAAACAAACAGAAGGCTCTCAGTGACACACTGACTGCACAGAAAACCATCTGAAGAACACATCCTCCTCCTCTTTTTCACACAACAAGCAGACGACATGATGATCCCCTGTGAGGCTCATGGAGAGGGGGATTATGGGTAAGTGTAGTTCAAAGAGGCACTAACCTTCCCACCTGCTCAGTACATACAGGTGTGAAGTATCACAGTAATGTAACCCACAACTTCCACCAGATCTACATAGCATCTCCGCAATCAATCTTTTACTCCCTCTAGGGGTCAGTGTGTGTGTCTGTCTGTGTGAGTCTGTGTTTCTGTGTGTGTGTGTGTGTGTGTGTGTGTGTGTGTGTGTGTGTGTGTGTGTGTGTGTGTGTGTGTCTGAGTGTGTGTGTGTGTGTACTGAGTGTGTGTGTTTCTGTGTGTGTGTGTGTGTGTGTGTGTGTGTGTGTGTGTGTGTAAAGTTGAAGGTCTGTCAGTCTCTGTCTCTTTAATCAGAATGAGCTCAGTAACCGTGACAACGTGCTTGCGGGTGGATGTGCTATCAGTGTTTCCATGGAGACACAGAGAGAGCAGCAGTTATTAGATGTGATGAAATGATGTTCTCTAATCAAAAACCGGAGAAATCTTTGACGTGTGTAAACGATTCTTTATCGA